ATTTTAACCATTAACATCACAACCGTATGTCTTTTTGTAATGGTACAGCAATATTTTTATTAAGAACTCTTTATTAAGAATTCTTCTCATTAAGAAGAATTATTGTATTATTAAGAACTAAAAGGAGATTACACCAAACTATCAGTCCATAAAAGACACCACCATGTCTGAGGCAGATCTACCATCATGCTGAGAACACCAGTCCCACAGTGGAACATGGTGGTGGCAACATCTCACTTTGGGGATGTTCTTCATCAGCGGGGACAGGGAACTGGTCAGAGAACAGAAAGATAGATGAAGTGAAATACAGAGAACCTGAGAGAAACTTAACAGAAATGTAGGACTAGGACAGAGGTCCACCTTCCAGCAGGACAATAACCTCAAACACCCTGTTGAAGGAACCACTGTTTGATAGAAGACCAGTTCAATGTCCCAAAATGTCCCAATGAAACCCAGACCGCAGTTCAACTGAGAATCTGTGGTTCGATTTAAACACTGTTGGACACAAGCAGCACCATCCAACCTGCAGGAGCTACAGCTTTGTGCTCATGAAGAATGGAGACACCACAGATCAGGTCAGACGGACCATGATCATGGACATGGACCTGAACAGACCAAAGGTGGTGACACAAACAACTGAGATTTCAAGGATGAATATTTGTGCAAACACACACACACACAATTTTTTGATTTTATATTTTTAAGAATGACAAACAGTTGTTCCTCATATAAGCTTTACTAATCTGAAGTCTTTTTATGGACCTATAGCTTTGGATCAAATTAAAATTAAGTTCAACTCCAGGTCATAGAGCAGCAAAATAGAAAGAATACCAGAAATGTTGAGTACTTTTGTAAAGCACTGTGGAGACAAAGTGTTGAAGTCTGAAGCAGATTTCCAGTTTACAAAAATCTACTTGGACTGTGTTTTGTTGGTTATTTGTGGTCAGATCTGATCCTAAAAATGGTGCATGCATCCTTTACGCCATCCATCCATCCATCCATTCATCCATCCATCCATCCATCCATCCATCCATCCATCCATCCATTCATCCACCCATCATCTTCCACTTGTTCCAAAGTCAGGTCTCGGAGCAGCAGCTTGAGCAGGGATGTCCAGACATCTCTTTCCACAGCCACCTCTTCCAGCTCTTCTGAGAGGACCCCAAAGTTTTTCCAGGCCAACCAAGAAACATAGTCTCTCCAGCGTGTCCTGGGTCTTCCCCGGGGTCTCCTCCCAGTTGGACATGCCCAAAGCACCTCTCTAGGGAGGCGCCCAGGGATCATCCTTGCCAGAGATGCTCGAACCACCTCAACTGGCTCCTCTCGATGTGGAGGAGCAGTGGTTCTACTCAGAGTCTCTCTTGATAACTGAACTCCTCACCCTGTCTCTAAGGGAGAGTCCAGCTACCCTGCAGAGGAAACTAATTTCAACCTCCTGTATCCACGATCTCATTCTTTCAGTCACTACTCAGAGTTCATGACCAGAGGTGAGGGTAGGAATTGTTAAAGACGGGACCTGACCCCGTCTTTGAGCAGATCAAAACCCCAGAACCAGTCTAGTTAAAAATAATATCCAACAGAGCGTAGACTGACCAGTAAACAGAGAGCTTTGTCTTACAGCTCAGCTCCCTCTTCACCACAATGGACTGGCACAACATCCTCAATACTGCAGATGCCGGTCCTTTACTCCTGGTTTAAATGAGTCTAATGCCCCTTTTCCACCGTCACAGAGCAGATCAGATCAGTTCGGGTTGGTTCAGATCGGTTCGGGTCTGTTGTGTTTCCATGTACATTTCTGGACCGGCTCTGTAGGCGGGGACTAGAATCCAACTCGTCTTACCACCTGGTGGCGGAAGTGCTCCCTTAAGCTATTTACTAGCCACCACTAAACGTATTAGAAGAAGAACACCCTGAAGGTTTTGTCACACGACGTTGTGGAAGCGATGTTATGCTCTAATGGAGTACCTCATGAGCTGTAACTTTAGACCTGATTCATAATCCTACCTTACTGCCTTCCCTGCTGCTTTAAACCCATGTGTTTTTCATTTTAGTATAGATTTTTACAATAAAGATGTATTAAAAATATCTTCACTTTTATTATTTGCAGATATGCACAAGGTTCATGTTAAAATTGCAAAACTTCACACTGTGCTGTAATCTTTGAAACTGCTTTTACAATAAGATACAGACTTGAAAACAATTAGATTAAATTTTGTCCTTGAATTTTAAAGATTTGTCTTTCATTAAATTAAAACATAAATTTATTACTTATTAATCTAAAAAAGTTAAGTCTGGTCCTCTGGACATTCAAAAAACAAAACTAACAAAAAACATTTAGTTTATTTATTATAAACTGTATTGTTTGTTTTGTGAATGTCCAGAGGACCAGACTTAACTTTTTAGATTTTTCTACCTGGATTATTGAGCAGCATCAGGATATTAATTAATAAATAGTCAGTTGGTCTGAAAACACCATGGGGTCCTAGAAGAGTCGAAGAGGTGGATGTTGATGTCTGTGCCTCCCTGGTGAAGATGCTGCTCCCACAACCCTGAAGCAGAAGAGGATGGATGGATGGATGGATGGATGGATGGATGGATGGATGGATGGATGGATGGATGGATGGATGGACAGATGGATGGATGGTGAAGGAGGAGACCATAAAACACAGCAGGAGTGGTCAGTTCAGGTGAACTGCCTGTTTGCTTCAGATCAGCTGTTCAAATCTCTGCAGGTTCAAATAAAAGGTGCACCAGGACTTTCAGCTGAATCTCTCGGGCCACAGTTGTACGGACGATAAACGATAACTGCTAAAAGATAACTGATGACTGATAATTGATAACTGTCCTTTCTGAATTTTTTACTGTTTTTGTGTCACTTCATCCTAGAACCAAAAAATTATAACATAATAACAGTTGAGCAGATTCTAGTAATCTTTTCTTAGGATTCATTAAAGATCAAATGCAATTGGAAATTTTTCTCAACTTCCAGTATGAATTTAAACAAACACTATCTGCACTTAACATTGTAAAATTTGTTTAGGAAATTTAATGTTCAAGGACACCACTTAAGAAAAAAATTGTTTAATATGAAAAGTAAGAAGTGAAAAATGTACAAAAATAAAAACTACTGCGTCCAACTAATGATTGTCTGTCCCTTGTCTCACGGGCTTCATCCAGAAGAAGACACAAGTGTTGTTCCTGCTGTGTCCGGTTCAGTTCTTCATGTTCATTCAGTGATGAAATAAGACTTTTCTTTACTGGACTCTTTTCTCTTTCTCTTCACTAGAAAGAAGAAAAAGTGGTTAATTCAAGCTACATACTGTTTTTGAATAAATGCATGAAACAAAGAAAGGTGCTGCTAACAGCTATAATAGATATATTAATAATAATAAACTGATCAAATAAGAAAATTAAAAATAAATAGATTTAAAAATAATGAAAATGATAATAATGGATATATGAATCAGAAAGTATTATACAGATGCAGATATTCTTTGTCATTCGCACCACATGTGGTACATGTGGTGGATCAAAATTATGTACACAGGGTCCCAGTTACATCCAACAATAAAATATAAAAGAAAAACAGTAATAAGATCTAAGATATGAACTAATAAAAACATCAACTAAAAATATGATAAGCTCTAATAGCATAAAAACATTAAACACAATACGCCGAACAGCAGCACGGACATGAGTCTGTGTGAACAGATGAGCACGAATGAACACAGCAACATGAAACAGATCAGCAGCAACATGAAACAGATCAGCAGCAACATGAAACTGATCAGCAGCAACATGAAACTGATCAGCAGCAACATGATGTGATTCTTCACAGTGTTATATATTCATAAGGCTGCACAAACTCAAGTTCATGTTGCTGTTTGACGTATTGTTTTGATTGTTTACTGCTATTAGTGCTTAGTGTTTTATTAGTAGATGTTTTTTAGTTGATATTTTTCTTAATTCATATCTTAGATCTTATTACTGTTTTTCTTTTACATTTTGTTGTCTGTAACTGGGACCCTGTGTACATAATTTCATCCCAATTCAGTATTTATTCAACATTTTAGTTTTTTACTTTAAAAATAAAATAAATCAAGTCCTTATCGGCACAAATAAAGTGATGTGGAACATGTTGCATCTTACCGAGCACAGAAGCTGCAGCGTTGTGCTGCTCTGTGAGGTGCAGCTGGGCTGTGATGGAGACCTGTCAGGTGCAGACTCCTCTGATGGAGCAGGAGCAGAAGCCGGGAGGCTTGGAGGGTTTAATGTGGAGTTTAGAGATGAACCATCACGCGCTGAAATACGTTCTGGATAAAATACAGTGAGAAACGGGACCGGAGGACAGTTAGCGTTTATGCAAATTAGCTTAGCATCGTAGCACCGACGTTGTACTATTATGGCATCAGCCTCTTTTGTTAGTTAAAAATATGTTCAGAACCGATGGGATGAGTAATTTAAAATATGTTTAAAGTTAGAAAACACTCACCATCTTCTATAAATGATTCAAGTAGAGCAGTAGTCGTGTCCAAACCACCCTCCAATCCTCCATCTAGCTTGCTTTGACTGTTTTCGTCGGCCACCAAGCACAACAACACCTGCACTTCTGCATTTGACCACGGCTTTGATATTATTGTTGTTGTATAGCTTCAAAATACTAAAAGATACGCTTCTCGTGTTATGCTAATGGCAAGCGGTAGAGAAAAAAAATGGTGGATCGGGTTGTTTGGAAAGACTCCACAGACTCCTCCCCCCGGCCAATCAATGACCGACAGTGTTTCTGACGGTCACGGCGCGGCTCGCTCGGAACCCTTGAGAAGCCGGGCCAGAATTTAGCGAGGCGAGCCGGTTTCTGGAACAGTGGAAAGACCTCAAACGCGCTTCAACCCGGAAATATCAGACCCGCGCCGTGACGGTGGAAAAGGGGCATTAAACTGCTAGTTGATAGTTTGGTGGTAGTTCACAGAACTGATTGATGAACTGTGTTGTCTTCGCAGCATGTGACTGTGACCCCCGCGGGGTCTCGGAGCAGCAGTGTAACAAAGTCAGTGGTCACTGTGTCTGCACTGAGGGCGTGTCGGGACCACGGTGTGATATCTGCGCCCGCGGGTTCTCTGGAACATTCCCAGACTGCCATCGATGCCACCAGTGTTTCGCAGAATGGGACAATGTCATCGGTCAACTGACCAATCAGACACATCGACTGGTCAATAAGGTCAACGCCATTAAAGCCAGTGGTGTCAACGGACTGTACAGAAGGTCCATTCAGAGCATGGAGAAGAGCGCCGCTGATCTCCAAGTCATCCTGGACCAAAACCCAGCCTCACAACCACTGAGCGAGATCCAAAACCTCCTTCAACAGGCCAGGTGAGAACTTTAGTTTGATGAAAACACTCCATGTCAACAAAGCCTCTGACCTTTTCCTTGTGTTTTAGTGACTTGATGGCAGCTTTGACTCTGACCTTGAACAACACCGAGGAGACTCTGGTTGTAGCGGACAAACAGGATTCTGCAGTGAAAACCAAAATGGACTCCATGACATCCGATGCCCAGAAACTGGAGCGGACCATCAAGGAGCTGCTGGATCAAGTCGAGTTCATTAAGAACTCTGACATCAGAGGTAAAAAAGTCAAAAATCTAAGTTTGAGATGCAATAATTATTTTTATCCTGGTAATATCTTCTACACTAAAGATCATGTTTGTGAACACATTATGTTTATTATTGACGGTTTTCAAAACAGATCCATAATTCTGAGCTTTTCATTGTTTTATTAATTTTTACTTGTGTTTTTTTTGTGTATGTTAAAGGCTCAAACCAGGTCAGGCTGTGTCGCCCCCTGCAGGTGCATCTGAAAACTGTCATCTCTGATTTAAACTAACTTTTTTAAATTATTATTCCAAAATTTAAACCATTTTTAAATAACCAGAGGCTGCTCATGGATACTTTTTATAATCATAACAGTAAAGTTCAACATGCTGAACAAATATAAGTTTACAAGCGCTCAATATTATGGCAGTATTAAAGGTTCCAGTACAGTTCAGTCTTCCCAAAAATCAAAGGTTTGAGCAGGTATTTTTCACAAATGTTGAGTTTGATTATTTATGAGGGGTGATGTCATCACAGCACTAGTGGCATATTGTTTAATTCTTCACTGTTACTGATTTCTAAATGACGTTCCTCCAGAAAACAAACATTTCCTTTCTAAAGAAGAGATAAAACGATCCCCTCTGTGCTCGTTGTCGCTTCAGTCCAGGTCATGGCTGACCAACAAAGAGTGGATCCAGTCTCCACACTGCCCCTCTGATCTGGTCCCTTACAAAAACCAGGCCAAGTGGCAACACCGTCTAAATACTGGTTCAGTTTGAAAAAATAAGAGTGGTCATCCTCCTTTTTTGTCACCAGGGGCCACAGACAGCGTCACCAAGTACCTCCAGCTGTCTCAGGCGGCTGAAGCTCGAGCCAATGCGTCAACCATCGACACTGGCAGCCCGGTGGAGACCTCTGCTGCTCTACGGCACCTCACAGAGGACAAACTGAACCAGACCACAGAGGAGTTTCTGAAGAGACACTCTGAGCATGCTCAGAAACTGGACACCCTGGCAGGAGAGCTGCAGACGTTGGACTTGTCTGTGATCAGACATAAGGTGGGATCTTTAAATCATGTCTTTGCCCAACCATACCCCCGCTGTTTATCCACTGATTGTCATTTTATACTAGTTGGGCACAAAATGAACCAGTGTGCACATGTGCACTGAACATATATAGAGACCTCAGCTGTATGCACACCCTGCACCAAGGTGTGCTTTATTTCATAAACTTTTAACAATAACCACACTTTGTTTCTGAAGTTATAAAGGTTTCACTTTTTCCAAGTCCAGCCGCTGTACTTTTAAAACATATGATTTTTGTTCTGGTGGCACGGTGGTGCAGTTAATAGAACTGTCGCCTCTCAGCAAGAAGGTCGCTAGATCAAATCCCATCCGGGGGGCCTTTCTGGGTGGAGTTTGCATGTTCTCTCTGTGCATGTGTGTTTTCTCCAGGTACTCCAGTTTCCTCCCACAGACCAAACACATGCATGTTAGACTGACTGGTAACTCTAAATTGTCCCTAGGTGTGTGTGTGTGTGTGTGTGTGTGTGTGTGTGTGTGTGTGTGTGTGAGAGAGAGAGAGAGAGAGAGAGAGAGAGAGAGAGAGAGTGAGTGATGGTTGGATGGGACTGTAATACATAGACCAGCTTGTGTACCATTCAACCATTTACAAGTTTTACAGTTTTGACTTTAGATTATATGGTAAATAGTAAATGGACTGTACTTATATAGCGCCTTTCAATCTTATTTCAAGATACTCAAAGCGCTTTACACTACAATCTGTGTCTCATTTACCCATTCATACAACACTCTACTAGATCTCTACAAAGCTAATTGAACAAATCATTCTAAAGAGAATAATCAGAGCTTTATCACATTCATACACTGATGGGACACACATCAGAGGCTATCAGGGGTTCAGTGTCTTGCCCAGGGACACTTCAGCATGTGAGTGCTGGTGGATTTCGACTCCCCAACTCTTGCATTGGAGGACGACTGCTCTAACCACTCAGCCACAGCCGCCCCTCAGCAGCAGGTGCATTGTGGGTAAACAAACTGTAGGTTCATGGTTCTGGTACTTGAGTTTGGACACATTCTATATATTTACTGTGAAGTCTTCAAGTTTATTCTTCCTTCCTGTCCTTGTTCATGTAGACCTGTGGCAGTCCAATACTTGGTCAGAACTCATGCTGGTCTTCATCCTGTGGGGGTCTGGGCTGTGTGGACTCTGAGGGTCAGAGCAGATGTGGGGGGGAAGGATGTGATGGTGCCGTATCGACAGCCAGCAGTGTCCTGATGAAGGCTCAGAAGTCTGAACAAGAAATTGTTAGCGCCATGGCAGAGGTGGAAAAACTTGCTAAGATGGTGAGTCTGGGTCCTGGTCTGCGGCTGGACTTCAGGAGGACTGTGAGAACTGTTCTCAGGTTTCATTTGTCCTCAGGTGTCAGAGGTGAAGAGACAAGCTGACCAGGCAAAACTGAGTGCTGGGAACGTCCTGATGAAGACCAACAGGACCAAACACAAAGTCAATCAGAGCAACGAGGAGCTGCGAAGCCTCATCAGACAGATCAAAGATTTTCTAACTCGTAAGTCTCCAGGAACTCCAGGAGCTCCGAGCAAGTAGGAGTCTGAGATGAGAAAGACTCTCAGCTACAACCATGTCAAAATTTATCCCAATAAAAGTTAGAGAGCTATAGTTGTAGCATTATAGAGCTATACAGTTCTAGACCGTGGTTAATTTGAGCTGGATCCTGCCGGAACAAGATCCAGGAACTCCCTCATTTTCACCGTGTGCGTTCCGGCAACAGTTCATTCAGATCCGTCAGCTCATATCTCGGCTCATAAAAGTCCAAAGTCATTGCGCATTTTTATTTTGATTATTTATTAAAAATACAACGACAGGAGATGTTGTCCATGTCTGTGTGGATGTTACTGCTGCAGCAGGCGCACCAGCTCGCTCACACGCTGCTTCCAGCAGAAACGCTGACCGCATGTCCCATGGTGATGAAGCGTCTCCATCCACCTTCAGCTGTGTCTCAGCAACCAAAGCAGCACAAACGTAGCACTAACCACTCATTGTATGTACTGGAATTTTTGACGTGGGTGGGGTGTCAGCTTCACCTCGATCAGCTGTGTGCTCTGCAGACAGTGCACGTTTTATGCACAGGAGCATCTCCAGACAGCTCTGCGGAATGCGCACAACTGCTAATGTGTCAGAACTCCTGCAGACTTGTCAAAGATAATAAATAAAAAAGTTTACAGTAAAAAATAAATAAAAAATATGAGTGAAATGTTTGATGTGTATTATTCACATTGCACGTTTCAAAATTAATCAAAATAAAAGTGATCAAAATGTCGAAAAGACCGTCCAATTCATTATCTAAAATATATGGATGGATGGATTGTCCTTAGCTGGACAACAGAGAATTGAAGTGGTACTAAAGGTTGGAGCAGAACAACACGCAGGGCTGAAGTCAGCTGAGAAGAGTTCGAGTCGGACATTGAAGTTTCTGTGTGTGTGTGTGGGGGGGGGGGAGCTTGACAGAATCAGAGCTTTTCAGGGGGAGGACCCATGGATATGTA